ATAATTTAGTGAACAATTACTCCCGATGGCAGAAATCTTTCACAAAAATCAGTTTCAAAGATATTTCCAAACACATTACATTCTTTTTACAATAGGGTATTTTCATTTCAACCCCAGGAGCTCAGATCACCAGGCAAGGAAATCAGTGAGAGAAATTGGAGGAATGTAAAACTTTTAACGTGTGAGCTAAACAGTTTTGCAAATGGGGACTTAAATGTCTCGGTCAATATAACAGTGTGATGGTAGTATATATTTCAACAAAATCATAGATGACCTTGGGTTTCCCATATGTCACATGTGTTACACCGAACAATAACTCCAGTTTACACTGTGAATTAATACATTCTGAATTGTATTTACTAGGGTAAGAAGTTCGAAAGGATAAAATATAATTATTAAAATTATAGTTGCACACACAATGACACTGCAAATATAATTCGGATATTTAGGAATTATGAATAACAATAGTTATTAGAAGTGTTAACCTATACTTTCCTTCTTCTCCATTGAGAGTTTGAATCTATTTACTTTATACATTACATTGTATTCCATTTCTGGGGCTCTTAACCTAGTCTCAGATTACATTGTATTCCCTTTCTGGGGCTCTCAACCTAGTCTCAGATTACATTGTATTCCCTTTCTGGGGCTCTTAACCTAGTCTCAGATTACATTGTATTTCCTTTCTGGGGCTCTTAACCTAGTCTCAGATTACATTGTATTTCCTTTCTGGGGCTCTCAACCTAGTCTCAGATTACATTGTTTTCCCTTTCTGGGGCTCTCAACCTAGTCTCAGATTACATTGTATTCCCTTTCTGGGGCTCTCAACCTAGTCTCAGATTACATTGTATTCCCTTTCTGGGGCTCTTAACCTAGTCTCAGATTAAATTGTATTCCCTTTCTGGGGCTCTTAACCTAGTCTCAGATTACATTGTATTCCCTTTCTGGGGCTCTCAACCTAGTCTCAGATTACATTGTTTATCCTTTCTGGGGCTCTTAACCTAGTCTCAGATTACATTGTATTCCCTTTCTGGGGCTCTTAACCTAGTCTCAGATTACATTGTATTCCCTTTCTGGGGCTCTTAACCTAGTCTGGATGCTCTAGGCTACATTTAAATTAAATCTAGACTATAAAATTAAAATGACCATGAGGTTAAATAAAACTAGGAAAGTTGAGGTATAGTAAATATATATTGTTTCCTTGACTAATCATTTTCCTCACTGCTGGAAATGTGGCTGACACGAAACTCCACAAGGGACATATATTATCAAATATAACATATAAAAATAATAATACAATACACAGATTCACTCTTTTGATATATAAAAAAACATATATCAAATTGAAAATATATAATATGTTCACATACATTGACATTACAAGAGCACAAACGTGGTTATGTTTGTGAATTATTTAATTATATTCAACTCCAAGATGTCGAGCCAGACGTCTATTTGGGAAGTAACGTACATAGAAACCGAAGAACTGATGGAGGTGTTCAAATATAAATACAAAAAGAAATTAGAGTTTCCATAGTACAGGGGAATTTGATGAAATAAATATCAATCGAAACTATAACAGAACTTAAAATTGTTAATTCTCATATCAAATAGGTACTAGTGTGTGCAGCAGAAACGTGGGGAACACATAAATGAATATACATAAATTACCAACATTCATTAACCGATGTATGTGCAGAATATAGGAAGTTAAACGGTATGACAATATCAGTAATGAGCTTTGGGAGAGAACTGAACAAATTCTACTGAATCAAGAGGTGAATAAAAGATGCTGGCGTTGAATATTGCAAATTTGGAGGAAACCTAAGAACAATATAGCTACACACGGAAAAGGGAGCTAGAGAGGAACGTTAAAATGCTAGGAAAGACGTGGGAGTGAGCTCATGCATTAGCAAAGAATAGTACGATTCGGCAGGAGTTTGTTGAGGACCTATGCTCCATAAAAGAGTAACAGGCAGAAGAAGAACATTTATAAACTCGATAGGCCTGAAGGTGTGAAAAAAATATCCTTCACATTTTGTCTACATAACTTGAATATGGAAAGAGGAAAAAGCGACTGATGTAATTCGAGTAAGCAAAGGTGGTATTTGGAATGTCATTAACATTTTCTCTTTGTGTGTCTACGTGTATGTCTTTGTCTCTGTGTGTCTTTGTGTGTGTCTCTGTCGGGGTGTGTGTTTGTGTGTGTGTGTGTGTGTGTGTGTGTGTGTGTATTTGTGTGTGTGTCATTCTATATTTGTTGGTGGATACATTTGGTTTTTGTATGTCGACTAACATAATTTTATACTAAACAAATATAAATCAAATAAAAACAAAGGAATGGAGATGGCAGACATTAATTTATTCAAAAACCTTTATCTCACAAGAAAGGAAAGACAACGGTACGTAATATATATTGTTATCTTTGAAATGATGTGTTCTAAGTCAATGGAAAATGCGAAGTTCAAATATTATCTTTGTGTGTCAGATTAGAATATCATTTTGAAGTTATTTACATAAATATTAAAATGTCATATTCAGTTAAAAAGGTGTGAACACACACACACATAATTAATTTATTTTCAAATAATTATGTAGAAAACTTTGCCGTAGTGGAAGAGATTGTGTTTCATAATGACCCTGACAGCTATGCCTGCCATAGCATAGTGTAGCGTAGTTGGCTAAACCGGATTGCGCGTAGATCGGGTGACGAACTCCTTGTGGTCCGGGTTCAATTCCGGGGGTAGGCAGAAAAGCCACATGTCTCCCAGATTTACGGTATTTACAATGGAATCAAGGCCGAAAAGTTGCGATATCCATAATACTGAGCCAACGGGTTAACAACTCATGGCTTATGGATACTAAAAAAAATAAAAGGGCCCCCCAAGTCGGAAATGTCGAAGGGTAGAAAACAGACAAAGAGAGACACCCTGGTCCTCCAGGTTTGGGGTTAAAGCGTGGGGCCGACACCCCCACCTTCGTAAAATGGATCTTATTCTCCCAGAGAGACGAATGGAGGCATGTGATATCAGCAGCAATGAACCTCAAGGGCTCAGAATGCTGAAGAAGAAAAAGAAGATGTAGAAAACAATTAGCACGACAAGTGTATGTACAAAGCTAATGACTATGGAAGAACGTTTACACGACAATAGAAGCATTAGGGAACAAGATCATGGCAAAGTACCAGATGCAGAGGAAAGTTATATTAGAGAGTCAAAGATGGCGACATAAACAAAAATCATCAGTACACCTGAACAAAACAAGACTGAGATCTCTAGAGAGGGATGTATATTATAATTATTAAATTCTTTGCGTACACGCCTCTCCACAATCTGTGATCTAAAAGAACATGTATCAGCCCTCCTTTGATGACACGCCTCTCCACAATCTGTGATCTAAAAGAACATATATCAGCCCTCCTTTGATGACACACCTCTCCACAATCTGTGATCTAAAAGAACATATATCAGCCCTCCTTTGATGACACACCTCTCCACAATCTGTGATCTAAAAGAACATGTATCAGCTTCCTTTGATGACACACCTCTCCACAATCTGTGGTCTAAAAGAACATGTATCAGCCCTCCTTTGATGACACACCTTCATGCCATGAGAACAGGCGGCCAAGAATTCCCTCGGTTTTTTTCCCTGCCTCTTTTTCCTCAGAGCTCTACAATGATCACAACATGTTCCAGTTTTCTCTTAACATGACCACACAACAACAACAACCACACAACAGATTACTGTCTATTTATGATTTTTTTAATAAGTTGTCTTCTCATCTCTCATGGTGTGATTTCGCTTTCATGTTTTTTCATTGACTGTCAGTGTCTGGCATTGATAGCACAAATGTGGTACAATTAGATGGGTTGTCATCTCTCTCCTCTCTCTCTCTCTCTCTCTCTCTCTATATATATATATATATATATATATATATATATATATATATATATATATATATATATATATATATGTGTGTGTGTGTGTGTGTGTGTGTGTGTGTGTTTGCGCGCGCTGATATTTTGATGCCTTTATTATTGCACTATTTTGGGGAATTATATTTGGCTATTGGTTTCCTTATACTCTGTCAAATTCTCCGTCCTCAGTGAAAAGATCGCCTAGGTATTTAAACTCTTTGGTTTACTTCAATGTTTCTCTTTCCAAAGATTACGTTTACTGGTGTTTTATTTACCGTAAATTTTTTCTTTAGAGCTGGGGTTCTATTCAATCGTAATTGTTTTAAAACATTACTTGCAACAAGTGTTCTCAAAACTCGTCTTTACAACCACACCACAGCAGCTTCCACACACATTTGTCGTTAATCTGCTCTGTCTATGATTCAGTTGTGTACATCAGCTCTATTTAACTTTCAAGAACCCTTTCTCACAAAGAGAAACCATTCTACACAAGGTGAATGTAGCAAACACACCAGAGACTAGACCTCTAGATAACAATTATATTTTTCGGATTCCTTCTTGTCTTTCTCTGATATTGTTCAAGATAACAATTGAATGTTGTCGGGTGCCTTGTGGCTTATTATTATTATTTTTTTTTTTTTAGATAAAAGTGACCTGTCGTATTGCTTATCATTTATATCTGATTCTGATTTAGATAATTATGTGTTGTCGGTTTTCTCCTTTGTTTTCTCTGATAATGTTTTAGATAAAAAAATTACACGTTGTCGGCTTCCTCATCACTATGCTCTGATATTGTTTTAGATAAAAAAAATTACATGTTGTCAGCTTCCTCATCACTATGCTCTGATATTGTTTTAGATAAAAAATTACATGTTGTCAGCTTCCTCATCACTATGCTCTGATATTGTTTTAGATAAAAAATTACATGTTGTCGGCTTCCTCATCACTATGCTCTGATATTGTTTTAGATAAAAAATTACATGTTGTCGGCTTCCTCATCACTATGCTCTGATATTGTTTTAGATAAAAAATTACATGTTGTCGGCTTCCTCATCACTATGCTCTGATATTGTTTTAGATAAAAAATTACATGTTGTCAGCTTCCTCATCACTATGCTCTGATATTGTTTTCAGTGAATTGGCTGGTTTACGTTCATTCGTGTCCAGACTTCCCTGGTCAAGTATGGTGACAAACGTAGAACCAGTGCTGATGTGAACGTTGCTGGCCCAGTGAATTCTTACTGGCTGATCAGTGGCATGTGATCGCGGGTGAATACACAATGGAGGTTTTTCTAGCAGACAAAGAAAATTAGAACAAAATCAACATTTAAAAAGGAGATGCAGAATAAGCATAAAAGCTAAAATAATACAATATAAATCAGAAACACACAAGTGTTTCTTTTGTTGCCTTTTATTACTTCGTTGGAGCAAAGTCTCCCAAAAGTTAATACCACGCTGTCATATCGTATGTCGTCGCATACGGTGCACTTCTTCAGTTCCCAAAACCATTGACACTTTAAACTGTCTTGTACTCGTGGGTCTACCTCTGGGTGTTCTGCAGGATTTCAAACATTCTACACCAAAGTACTCCAGGGACAGGCTATCCTCATCAACGATAATACTGAGGTCTATAAGGTCGAGATGTCGAAGTGACAGTTAACAAGTTTCCAACCTCCTGCTCTCTGGATACGTGGACCTATCATGCTTGCAAATGTTTATGCACGCCATGCTACCACGGTCGCTAACGCAGTTGGTTAAACCTGACTAAGCGGCGACTGGTTGACGAACTCCTTGTGGTCCAGGTTCACACCCGGAGATAGGCAGAAAAGCCAGATTTCTCCCAGATTTACGGTATCTATCCTGGAATCAAGGTTGAAGGGTTGCGATATCCACAGTACCGAGCCAACGGTTACTGGATAGTTTAAAAATTGCATTGCTAAACTGAGCAGTGAGTAATGGCAATGCTTTTCAGAATATCATGTGAACTGAGAGGAGTGTGGTTTGTGTGGGCGTTGTGTTTGTGTGCTTGTATGTGTGTGTGTATGCTGGTGTGTGTGGTTACTTCAAAGCCAAAAGCAGTTTATCGGCCAACATCTCCACCAACAAACAGGAGGAGACTTATATGATGCCATGGTAGGCATAAGTCTGGTCTGCCTCAATGATTTATGATGTCAAAAACACTAGGATGGCCCAGCGACCAGTGGATGAGGAAAGTGTTTGTGCTCGATCTGGCACTGGTGTCATCTCTCCTGACTCCACGCTGCAGCTGGTAGGCCCCTGGTGACCACCGGCAGCGATCTCTTCCTCTTCGCTGTTTCAATAAATAATGTTGACTTTGTGTGGACCCTTTGGGAGCGAGTGAATAGTACGGAGGCACAATCAGATCATTACGGTCTGAGAAGAATGGCGCTGCAATGAGTTACCATGGGATCTGGCCGACGCTCAAAACTCAAGGGTAGGGCAACACGGATAACCATCAGACAGTTACTGATACCACCGGAATTCGAACCCTTCGCTTACTGCTGAAGATGGGGATGGAGCGCTTATGGGGGGGGGGGGTGTCCCGAGTGCTGTGGTGTCGGTTCTTAATTCAATATTCAAATAATACAAATAAAAGGCGAGGGGGAAGGGGGACGGGCAGTGCTTGGCACAAAACGAACTCAAACCCCTTTATGTATTCCTGGGGGAAAAGATGACATCAGGAACATAATGAGAAAATCATCATTAAAAAACTTGCTAGAAAAAAAAGAAAGACCGGCAACAACCACTGTGATAGAACGAAGAGGTAGAGTCAGCTTGAGGACTTAAAGGACAAGCTGTCAAGACCTGGCAAACAACGAGGAAGTCAACTGACTCTCCACCCAGGTCTTCTATGCAAACTCAAGCAGATTATGCAGGCTACGATTCCAACCTTCAAGAAGCTAAAACTCAAATGAAATCCTCATATACCCACAGGACAGGAACAGAACTGACAGAGTCTCTGAGTTACAGAAGGATTTAGACCGTGTATCATCTCGGTGTAATAACTCAGGGGCAACGAAACATCCTAAACTGTCCTGGTCTAATGGATGTTTAAGTCAATGAGCATGTAGATTATCTGGCGGACAAGGCGGTTATCGCCACCCGCCCAGTACAGGACAGCAGTGATGCCACTAATGCCATGCCAGATGAATTGTAAAGAGGACACTGACAACAAGCAGGACTCAGTATACGTGTCCAGGTTGTTGCAACCTGGAGCAGCCAAACAAGAACATTTCACCAAGGGCATAAAACGTGTGATTAATCAATTCAGAAAAGACGCAGTCGGTTCTTTCACACTTGTGGAGCTACTGAGTAGAAGATCGGAGCACCTACATATGGATGAGTCCAGAGTGATGTGATGACAGTCCTCACTGATAACTATGCATCAGTGCCCACGATTCACCGCTCCAGCGGACTGTAACGCAACGCCACGGAATTAACTTAAAAACCACAGAAAATACAAACTTGATAGAGGCTCGTTTAATTGTTCCGTATATTTTTGAAACGATCTGTAAACTAACTAGGTTAAGATCTGTCAAAATTGTTTATCTAGCACAGCTACTTCTCTTATCAAAGAATTGTGCACATCATGCGCAGTTAGTGCAGCCAATGCTGGCTGCAGCCAGTGAATGGCAGGCTTATCTAGACTAGCATCTGGTGAAGAAATTATGGCTGTTTTTAACTGCATTTTTGCGTAGGCTAGACTGTCTCATTTAGCAGCTGTTAAAGTTTTCATCCTTGCCCATCTCTGCTGGTGGTGTCAGAAACAGATGGATCTGTACTGTCACCATTCCGGTGTTCTCTATCCCGAAAAAACATACGAGCTCAGTGTCGTTTTCTTGGAAAATGAATCAATAATAACTTTAGGAATATTATTCGATAGTTTGTTGAAAACAATATTACATGAGTTACAAATTAGTCATATGGTATTACATTTACTGTGCCGCTGTAAGCCGCGGAGTTTGATAAAACTGCCGCGTAATTTGCGATTTGTGAATCGTGGAACCTGCTAATCACCCTCTTTTTTCCCCCGTGGGCTCTTGAAAATGTTTTGTTGGCATCTTTTCGTGTTTGCAGACAATTGCGTTTTCGTGTGCAATAAGGAGGCATGAAAATAACAGCCTATACAGATGGCGAGTATGACTAGAAAGACACCTTCACAGCTCTCCATAACACAAAACCTGGCAAGGTTGTAAAGACCAGGTGTTGCCTTTGCATCATGATGTACCTACCAAGCCTGCCTTGTTTATTCCAAAGAAAAGGTAACACTAAGGCGTTTGGAACCACTCATGCTGAAGAAACTGCCGAATCAGAAGAGAAGTGTTCTGTCTATCCATCTGTCGGGACTTTCCTCTTCGACCAGCTGTCAATCAGAGCTAAGGACTTGGTCTACTGCCACAACATTGGATTATTTAGGTTGTATTTCCTCTTTCAACAAGTTCCTGCGCCAAAAGCGCTCCACTCAATGCGGGGTGTCAGGTTATATTTCCAGAAGATACGTTTTTTAATCTCAGTATTAACAAGCTGTCGGCTCTGTGGCTGTCGATGCGAACGCTTCGTAATGCCGTGATGGTTCGATCCCAACTTGCTTTGGTTTCGACAGTGGAATCAATTAATCTGACCGCCCAGAAAGCAATGGCAAACTACTAGACGTAAATTTGCCTAGAAAAACCACACAACAGCCAGAGACTGTTGGGGTTGGTTCTTCAACGTCCTGTAAAGGATACGCAACTAACCATTAACAAGCTGTCTTTACCAAACTATGTTATTAAAACATATTTAAAGCTACCATTAAAGCAGGTTACGGAATCTACATAGGTTATCCCGATGGATCTGTTGAAGAGATTTTTGATGCATGCGGGGAATTCTGTTCAAACTATGAAGCTGAAATAATTGCACTGGAAACAGCAGTATACCACCTAAAGACTGTAATGGATGTTTACCCCTCAAAGGTCCAAAATATTGTCATCTTCACAGATTCAATGTCTGCCCTTCAAGCTCTGGAGGGCAATGAACGCTGCAGAACTGACATAGCCAAGATAATCCTGGATGCCGATCAGCTTATTACCTCATACAACATCAGAATAGTGATGCAGTGGATTCCAGGTCACTCCGGCACACCAGGTAATGACAGAGCTGACAGATTGGCAAAGAAAGGAGCAACACAAGAACAACCACCTACAGCGACAACCCTCCAGACAGCAAAAACACTGATAAGAGCTATAAACAAAGAGACTTGGTTGAACAGATGGGCCATGGGAGACACTGGAAGAGAGGTTTATAGACATATGTCTGGCCCTGATCCTAATGACAGCATTAACCATCTAACAAGAAGGGACCAGGCCACCATCTTCAGACTTAGAACGCAACATACTCCACTCAATGGACACCTAAACAGAATACAGCCACAACACTCCCCAGAGTGCCAGCTATGTAACTACCCCTACGAAACTGTTGAACACCATCTCTTTGAGTGCCCAAAACTCAGTGAGACAAGAAGAACGCTACTCCCTCCGAGACCAGACAAGTGGAACACCTTGTACGGAGGAAAAGAACAGCTTGTAAAAACATGCAAATTCCACTACATGGCATTGGGCCAAAGGGCGAAAGCTCATGCGCCGCTGGATCGATAACAACAACAATTAAAACAATTATATTATAGTAATACACAAAGGCGGAAAATCAGTCATTTGAAATAACATCTGGTTTAAAGCACGATGAAGCTCTGTCACCACTTCCTTTCAACATGGATTTAGAGAAAATTATAAGGAAAGTAAAAGGAATTGGTGCTGTAGGAGAAACTACAAGAGTTAATTGTTTATGTACATCACTGGCATATCTTTGGAGAAAATGAACTAGAGACAGCTAATCAGAGCAGCTTAGCAAAATGGGATTAGATATCGACCAAGATTAGACAGAATAGATAGTAATAACAGGGCGGGCAAAGGATATAAACTCCAGCCACATACAGATCGCTAATAAAAAAAAATAAAAAAAATAAAAAAAAAAAATAAAATACTTGGGCGTAAAATTTAAACTGCTCCAACAAAGAGAAGAAATACAATATAGAAAACAAAACAGACATAAAGTATACCATATCCTACTGTGGTGGGTAAATTCGCTTTAAACTAGCGACTGCACTATGTGCAATTTACAGAGGGAACTACAAACAGTGAAACTTCATACAGTCTTATATTACCCCCAGCCTTGCTGGTTAAATGAGAGGATTCGGGGTTTGCCCACATCTTATCCCCTGCTGTTGATAAATTGTATATTTAAATGTATTAAAGTTCACTGACACACAACTATTTCAGTTAAAATGAAACTCCATAAAACTGTAGGAACATTAAAACTAACATTTATTTAGAATTGGAATTCAGGCTAATAATCAAATGGCTGTCCAAGTCCAAGTCCTTTTAAGAAAAAAAAAAGAAAAGCTCGACCACGTTCAGACTGCTGCTAGCTAGCCGAGGCTGCTAACAGTCTACGCCTATATTTGTGGTCTGGGTTATTTGCGTCACTTTCGTGACTGAATACTGGTGTTTGTGCCATTTCTGGCTTAATGCTTCCCTCCGTATCAAACCGCCCGTCCTGTTGTCACTGGTGCATGTCTTCCTTCTTCATTCTTGGTGTTTCCTGTTTGTTCTGTCTCCCTTTGATCTGGCTAGGCGTATCTCGAAGGAAAGCGAGCTTCCAAACACAACGACCTTTCGGCCACCATTTATTGTTTTAAAATTTTGAGTATTTTAATTTTGCCAAAAAGTACTGAAAACAGTTTTTGAATGTGAATAGTTCCGAAATGTGAAAATTTTCCGCGTGTGACCATAGTGGTCTTATAGTTGTCTTCCTGTAATATGAACGGGTTAGTCATGTATTGGATATGTGTGTGAGAGTTTGTGTGGAGTCTTAAGCGGGTCCAGTCGTCATTTGTTATTATGTGATCGGGTTGTGTTGATAGCTAAGCTCCGGTGTACGTAAATACCATATAACCGGACCGTCCAGCTCACGCTTTGAGATCCAAATGATCGGCGATGAGAATTGTTGTGGCATGTTGGGCAACGAACTCAAGTGCTCTCTGTGGGAATGGGTTGGGGGGTTAAACTCATAGTGCATTCAAATGGCTGTGGATAGAATCCTGTTATATAAGGTTAGTAGACAAATCTGTCCACTTAGCTGTAGCTTAGGTTTCTTTTGGTCAGCTTCTGACTAAGCTTTGGAAACACATCAGGCAGGCCGAATCTTCCAGTCCAGTCCAGACAATTGGGCATTTGCAGCTACGCTAAGATTTACTTATGGAACTCCCACCTGGAACTACCACCTGGAACTATCATCTGGAACTATCATCTGGAACTAGAACAATAGAACAGCCCCTAGATAAACAGTTTAGAAAGTTCTCACTGGAGACAACAATACCTCCAGTCTTCAAACTGTTACACTACACACATATATATGGAGTAGGATAGTAACAGGTGTTCACATTCTACTGGTATAGAATGGGAATGTATAGGGAACAGGGACTAGAATCCTGATGGGGAAATATTTTAGGAAACATCAGTTTCATGAATACTCTCTAGCACAAGAGTTTACATCACACAATGAGAAAGAACATTCATCAGTGTAAATTGTTCTGATGTCTGTACACTAGTACTCCTTTGAAGGGTTAACATGCTTACACACACAGACATACACAGTCATATTTCACAATATTCTCATTTTAACCACATGGGTTCACATCACAAAGAATGAGAATCAGGAAGTGAGTTTACCAAGGCCAGAAACTCATAACAGGTGCTTTGCACTGTTTGAAAATGATGGGATTGACATATCTCCATAAATATACTGGGTGCTGGGATAGATGTCAAAATACAATCATAGATGACAATGGGCTTTCCATCTGTCACAGTATTAACATAACATATACAACACTCACTCCAGTGTAAATCTAAATCCACATGTGTGATGACATCTTAGTCAGCAGAGTTTAGAAGTTGTGGTGAAATATAATTATGAATATTGTAAGGCCACCTGCTGTAAACTGAAAGGTATTCCTAGTAATGGGGAAATATATATACAACAATAATAATTACAAGCATGGGCCATATATCTCTCTTCTTCTTCTCTGACAGTGTGAATATTAAATTCAGCCTCACTGTGTTATTCACTTTTCAAGCTCTTAAACCAGTCTCAGAATTATCTGGACTAAATCTAAATTAAAGCCATACAGTGATTTATCAAGCTAATATCCCCATGAGGGCAAATCAACTTAGTAATGATTAGGTATAATGAATATACCCTTCATTCCTTTTTTAATGGTCTCACTATGCTGGAAACCAGAACTGGCCGAGATTTCACATGAGGACTTAATTCTCACCTAATTAATATAATTATAATTATTAAAAATACCAATGCACGTTTTCAGTATCAAATAAACATTAATTCAATCATCAAATAGATCATATGTTTGCATACATGTACATACGAGATCATAAACGTGGTTAGTTATGATAAAGAAATGTATCATGGTTTCTAAGCCATGTGGGCATCAAATTTCAGAATTCAGCAGATAAAATTTACACTAATTTTATTCACTCACCCCTGGTAGGGAATTCAAACAGAAGATTGGACGCGGACTGACTACCAACTTTTAGTCTGTGCTAGTCAATTACTGATTTGAAAAGGAAATAGGAAGTCCTTAAAAAGGAGGAAATAACTCTTGAGTTACCCCTTGTACTACTCTTCGCCTTTTATACCTTTCAACTCTTTAATTATAATTTTGCTACAATGAAGCAATAGGAAAAAGAGGTAACAAAATTTAATAATATTAAGTACGTAGCAATACTTAAAAGGGCAGAAACAGCTGTCCAGACTAGCTCGTCACACCTACAAAATCTGCTAAAATCATAGTATCTGTATGGCAACATCAAGATCTAAATATTCAAAATGCCGATAAGATATTTGTTTTCCATGTCGCTAAAACTTGCAGCACAGCTGAAGACTCAGGTTCTGGACAAAGACTGAAGTCCAGAGCTTGACAAAAGACCAGAACTTTCCATCAGTTTACAGCTGGTAAACCCAAAGAAGAAGAAGCAGAAGTGAAAAAGAAGAAGAAGAAGAAGAAGAAGAAGAAGAAGAAGAAGAAGAAGAAGAAGAAGAAGATGAAGAAGAAGAAGATGAAGAAGAAGAAGAAGAAGAAGAAGAAGAAGAAGAAGAAGAAGAAGAAGAAGAAGAAGAAGAAGAAGAAAAAGAAGAAGGAGAAGAAGAAGAAGAAAAAGAAGATGATGATGATGATGATGAAGAAGAAGAAGAAGCAGAAGTGAAGAAGAAGAAGAAGAAGAAGATGAAGAAGAAGAAGATGAAGAAGAAGAAGAAGAAGAAGAAGAAGAAGATGAAGAAGAAGAAGAAGAAGAAGAAGAAGAAGAAGAAGAAGAAGAAGAAGAAGAAGAAGAAGAAGAAGAAGAAGAAGAAGAAGAAGAAGAAGAAGAAGAAGAAGAAGAAGAAGAAGAAGAAGAAGAAGAAGAAGAAGAAGAAGAAGAAGAAAAAGAAGAAGGAGAAGAAGAAGAAGAAAAAGAAGATGATGATGATGATGATGATGAAGAAGAAGAAGAAGAAGAAGAAGAAGAAGAAGAAGAAGAAGAAGAAGAAGAAGAAGAAGAAGAAGAAGAAGAAGAAGAAGAAGAAGAAGAAGAAAAAAAAAAGAAGAAGAAGAAGAAGAAGAAGAAGAAGAAGAAGAAGAAGAAGAAGAAGAAGAAAAAGAAGAAGGAGAAGAAGAAGAAGAAAAAGAAGATGATGATGATGATGATGATGATGAAGAAGAAGAAGAAGAAGAAGAAGAAGAAGAAGAAGAAGAAGAAGAAGAAGAAGAAGAAGAAGAAGAAGAAGAAGAAGAAGAAGAAGAAGAAGAAGAAGAAGAAGAAGAAGAAGAAGAAGAAGAAGAAGAAGAAGAAGAACAAGAACAAGAACAAGAACAAGAACAAGAACAAGACTGACAGTGACTACATTATGTTTAATAAGCTGATTAAAAAAAACTTACTGTTGTCTCCTAACTGATAGTCACCATCAGGGCTGAAATAAAAGTATATATTAATCAGAGTATTCTAAAACAATATACATAGACATATACGAGTGAAAATTTACACATGACTGCAAAAGTGCATTTTCAAATCGGGGCCTTTGTTCAAAAATATATCTCAACTGTAATGGAACATAAATGGATGCAATTATGTATTAAAAGCTACTTCATTCTCAGCTTAGGTCAAATTGCTTTCCTAGAATAATTAAACGATTATCCTTGCTGGATTGCCTTTCAAGAGTTTAAACTGCATAAAGTTTAAATTTAACTATCGACGTGTCACAAAAACACATGTTTGACGACAATTTTATAACTGTTGCGCTGAAAAATATGTCCCAACCACTGAAGTCTATAAAAACCTCATGATGCCAGTAATTATGGTGACTTAAACAGATTACGATATCCGCCATTATCAGTGCCAAGCCCCGACGAGAAAGGATTAGGGCTAAGCATGGGGCCAGCTCCCAAACCCTGAAGAAAACAAACTCATTTGCTACGGAAATGTGCAGTAAGGGATACCATTCCGATAAATATAGTGCATGTATGACGGTTACAGATGAACCCCGCTCTGTGGAAGTCTGTGACCAGACATGCATGGACACTACTTGACTGAAAAATAATCACTAGAATTGGTTTTTGGACTGTTAGGACTTTGGCGCAGGCAACAGAATCCAGCCAGGCTGCAGAAGAAATGAAGAGTGGAGCTACGTGGCCAGCAACAGATTAAAGAGTTGCTAGTGAGTGAGCTTTATCTTGTTTTTGTAGTGAGAGAAAATGGAAAACACCCAGAGCTGTAAAAATGTCTACTAGATTGGGAGCCTATTTCAAGAAGAGTTATTGAAGCTAGGTTTCATACAAGACATACTAAATACTGAAGTAAAGTAAGACAGTAAGGATCCCTTTTCACACCTTCAGGCGCATCGGGCACATCTTAAGAGCACCTATATTTTTTAAAACTAATCGGTACTAGCTGGGTAATGTGGTCAGCTTTACGCTGGCCGTCTTTACTTCCGTAGGACATTTATCCTGGTATCCAGTTTAGGCCTGGTCGACCTGCGACGCCCCATACCATGAAACAAATCCACACAGCCAGCAGTGGATTTCGATCGCGGTACGTTGACATTACGAGTCGGACTAGCAACGCCTAAGCCACGGACGCTGCCAAGACATACTCAAATGACCATCATTCTATGTTATGCTCCAATTATGCTCCATCTGGGACTGGGCATCAAGCCAAATTTATGACCAACTGCAGCATCAAGTGAATAAAACTGCTAAACATGGCCCAGTGGTAGTAATTTGAGATTGTAACCCACAAGCACGTAGCCAAATTATTGGTGTTGAAAGAGTAATGGAAAAGGAAGGAGTTGATTATTGTACTCCACCAGGACATCACACAAGCGGTAAACACCCGGTGACACAAAGTGCCACCATGTGGATGAGGATCACCCGTGGAGAGGTCCCAGAAACCCTTTTCAGTCGTTATAGACACATTTATGACCGAGCTATCTTCAGGGCCCCCTGCAAAAGCCAGGGTGGGGCTTCACATAACGAAAAACTGCATCCCCCAAAGGGACGACTTAGAACGAACGAACGAACAAACGTTATTTTTAAAGGGTTAAGAATTGGGCACGCAGGCCCTTCTAACATTCTGCCCCTCATTTCATTCACACATCATCATCCTCATCAGTTCTCGTTATGCCTAGTGGCACATGAGGCTTCAGAGAGGACTTTCCATACTATCCTGTCCTGTGCAATCTCCAGTGCAGTTTTCCATGTCAAAGATGCCGCACTCAGGTCACTTTCCATAGTTCGTTTCCATGTTGTTTTTGGGCGCCCCTGTTTTCTCTTTCCCTCTGGTGTCCATGTGAGAGTTGTTTTGGCAGATATATCAGAAGTCATTCTCAAAACGTGGCAAAGCCATTTCAATCTTCTCTTGGTAATCATACTGTCTAAAGTTTATGGTTTGTGGCTTGAAGTAGTTTAGTGTTTGAGATTGTATCTGGCCAGACAATTTTGATAATTCTACGTAGACATGTGTGGTGGAAAGTGGACAGCTTGTGTGCATCCTTTTTTGGTCATTCTCCAGCATTCCGCTCCATAAAGAAGAACTGGCAAAATGATGCTCTTGTAGTGTCGGAGTTTTTGTTCCTCTGCAGTAATTGCTGGATTTCCAGATTTGTCTCATCCTTTCAAAAGCAGCTCTAGCTTTGTTCAGGCGTGACCGTATATCTTTCTCTGTCCCTCCCAGTAGAGACACCACACTGCCAAGAAATGTGAAAGATTCTACATTTTCAAGTGATTGGTTACTTAATGTCACTGGTTGTTGGTTTGGACTGTTTGTCATGATCTTAGTTTTCTTTGTATTTATTCTCAGTCCCACCATTTCTGCTGTGCAGTGTAGTCTGTTACTTTTCTCTTGTATATGTTCATGTTTATGTGATAGGAGTGCTATATCATCTGCAAAATCATGGTCTTCAAGCATGGTGTATGGAGTCCATCGTATGCCTCTTAATATTCACACATCAAGTAATATTAAAAGTTAGCATCAAAATAATCAATACACGCACTGGAATGTGCACATTTCTAACTATAATATTCGAACAGTTTCCGATTGTATGTGTAGGGACTAGTGGTACTTTTGATTGGCTGTGGCAGATAGTTCCACAACTGAGCAGCGAAATACGCAAAACTTGTTTTGTAAAGGTCTATCCTAGGTTTAGGGATGTGTAATATGTTTAGGCGCTTACTATGCCTTCCATTACATTTAAACAACGGCCATAAGTAACATGGAGAATTTTAAGATAATATTTTGTAAGTAAATTTTGCAACACAGCCATGAGGAAGTGGATTGGTGCACCGCCTTGTCTGACAGACGTGGCTCTATATTGTAAGCAGGCTAAGCTGGTACTCCCGTTCAAATCAATAACCGAAGAGTTTTAAGTCGGCAAAGTAAGACTCGCAATGCTCTTGCGCTAGTCTTCAGACCCAAATTTCACCGCTGTCCAGCCCACTCTAAGGACTGGCGTCAAGTGGAGAGTCCTCAATGCGATCGAATCTGCTCAGAATGCACTAAAATTAAGGGAGATTATCGGTTAAACTCAAACCGACCGTCGAGGCCGACACGGGAAAGTCAGTCGGTGGTCCAAAGCCACAGCCAAAGAGCGCCGAGACATGGTGATACAGCAGATCAGGGACAACAAAAACGAGGTAAGGTTTAGAAAGCAGCCCAACAGTTGCAGCAGGGCCAGTGGATCAGCTTAGAGAGCGCTTTGCCGCGAGTACTCACATGGGGTGAGATCTGGCGAATGACCCCGCTGCGACTGAGCTTTATCGTTCGATCTGCCTATGATGTATTACCGTCCAGTGTCAACATGGTAAAGTAGAGTGCAGCTAACGACCCGTCATGCCTGCTATGCAGAGCAAAACAGATGCTAGAACACGTACTGTCCGCGTGCAGAAAAGCCCTAGGTCAAGGCAGATATACTTGGCGCCACAACAAGGTGCTGAAATAGTTAGCAGCCGTTGTGGACCAAGCTAGGATGAGGGCCAATGCGAGGACCAGCTCCAGATTTATAAGGCCGTACAGCTCAAACGGAAATTCCCGTTCTTGTGCAAGAATTGAGTCCCTCTGCGTCCACAGTTTTTATCGAGGAGATATGTAAACAAATTAAACTACAGTTTCATTAATTTTTGACATATTTTTTTTAACTATACGTCATTTTTAAGGTAAATAAGTGTGCCAATTGAATATAAGAATAAAGGCTCTTACAGACAAACAAAAATGCTTTTGCTACAGTCAACATGAACATAAACATCAGTAACGTTTAGATGTTAACTAAAAGTTGTTCCAGCAAAAGTAAAGAAATATCAGTGCTAACTTTTTGATTCTGAGAGGGTATTGTTGCATCAGAGGAGCGGGGGGGGGGGGGGGGCGAAGAGGGGGGTGACATTTGTACTTTATCAAATTTAGCGCATAAAAATACTGCTATGAAACATACACATGTCATACATAACATAAATATAAATGATTGATGGTTATTATTATTATTAGTAGACTACTACAACATATAATTATACTGTTATTTAAAAATTAGTAAACAAGCACAATCAGTATGAAATTGATATGTGCAATACTTTTTTCGCCCAGAGTAATTTTCTTAACAGTACTTCTAGCACTACTAAATATGTTTCCTCAAGGTACAAACAGCACAAACAAGTTTGTCCAGTTTCATCTTGTTAGATGAAATCAATTCCTTATCATTGAGAATTTTTTGGTAACAAATATGCATAGGAAGTGGATAAACAACCAGAAATTTCAGCAAGAGTTTACAACCAGTGTTCTCGAAGCAAAGCAAAAGCCAGTTTACAAAAATTAACACAGACCGTACAACTGCAAATATGCAAAAGAAGTGGATGAACTACCAGAAGTTTCCGCAAGAGTTTACAGCCAGTGTTCGCGAAGCATAAGTCAAATGGTTAAGGATTAATATTATTAGCGTACTGCTACAACATATAATTATACTTTTAGTCAACAATTAGTAAAGAGGCAAAGAGTGACTTGCTGTGAGAGGTTAGTTAGTAAATCAAATATTATTTTCATCCAATTACCTAGAGCTCTGAAATACCTTGACACAATTTATCCACAGTGTGGTTGCACCATTTATGCACAGTCAATATGAAAGCAATAGTTTTCTTCAAACACAAGATAGTTTGCACCTGACAACTGTCGATATTCTTCAAATATGGCTTCTAAATTACCTGTTTGTATTATCCCTAAAAGTAAGATTGCTACATTTAAAGTAGAAAAGTAATAAACAGCCAGTTCCCAAAAATCCGAACTACTGACTAGAAACAATGACACTGGCACACACATTACAACACGACTGTCTCCCGTGAATTACAATTAAAATTGCTGTAATCTAACAGCTTGTATGTCCACTTTACAATATCCGCTTGTCGATTTGTAATACGAATACAATCAAAACACAGA